AATACTTCTAAACATCTGGTGACTTAGGAAAGGAAAAACTTAGAGGGACAGAAGTGTGTATTAGAGAATCAGTTCTGATAGTCAATTGCTTTTTTTTTTTTTTTTTTTGATGCTTTAGAGATCACCTCTTAGAAGATGAACTTTGATGTCTTTTCCTTGCATGTTGTCACAAGCTGTAGCAGGGCACTTGTCTGGCAAGCATCACAAGCACACTGGAACCGCTGGCTGCAGAAGTGTGCATGTGCAGGAGGTTAGAGGAGGGAGCTTGGAACTGTGAAAGATGTTATTTTGTAGAATAGCTGTCCCACTGTATGTGTCTGATGCCTGGGCATAGCCACCACAAACTGTTCCTCTCAGAGGAAAGCAGTAACTCAGAAGACAACTTTCTGCTTCCAGCAAGTCTGCAGTTTGGTCCAAAGAGTGCCTGAGATGTCCTTATTCCTGTGTCTGTGATTTTATTTTTCTACATATTTTTCCTTTTACTGATTCTTTCCTCTTATAGAAGCTACTTGACCCCCAGCAGGTTATTTGATTCTTTTCACTCCCAGGCTAGGCATTTAGCTCACAGTCATTTTTCTGTGTGTAATTCTTCTTTTTCTTTCCCTTTTTTGGATACTTTTCCTAAAGGTTTTCCTTTTGTGTTTCTGCTCCTTCAAGCCATGGGTTCAATAAGGTTTGCGTCAGTAAGATTTCAATAAGGTTTGATAAGCATATGCATAGTGGCACATGCTGCATTCATGATTTCCTTCTCTCATTTGCAGCTTTATTTAGGCTGACTCTCCTTAAACTTCAAGGTGAAAGCTTGGCTGTTGGACTACATGAAATGAAAATGCTTAGAGATAAGATTTCATGCTATAGCTGGCATCTGAACAGCTGTACTTCAAACAAATCACACGGCCCTGGAGCACCCCTCATCACTGCTTGTGACACGCATGGAGACGTGTTCTGGAGTTCCTGTGGCTGCACCACTTTGTGGCAGGTTTTACTGCTTCCCCACCCACTTAAGTGGGAGCGAATGGGAGGGTGCCTAGGCGGCAACTTTTATGATGGGTGATTTGAAAGGGAAGAAAAAAAGGCTTGATGCTATTGTGCTGTCAGCTGTGAGATGTGGTTGATCAAAGCGACTTGGCCAGTTTCTTTAAATCAGGTCATACATAAAAGGTGTAAATAATAATCAGACTTTTTTTTTTTTTTTGCTGCAGCTTTTTTTCCCCCAGATGCCTGTGCAGTTTTCTTATCTAACCCTTTAGTCTTCCTTTGCAAGGTGGTTTGTCCTGCTAACCTTTTTCTGCCTTTAGAGATAGGGAAAGTCACCTTACATTGGTATATTCTGAATCTTCTGACCACTGTCCTGTCCCGTGACCCTTTTAACCAGTGTGGGAAGAAAGAGCCTTGACTTCAGTCTTCAGCCTGATATTTTGGCTGTACAGCTCTTTGGAACATTGAAAGTAATACAGCTATTTAGTATAGCCTTTTCATTTAAAAAACAAAACAAAACAAAAACACCTTTGAAGTTGATTGTTGGTATTTCCATCTTTACTTTGGAAGAGAAGATGGGGCATTAAGCAGCACCCCTCGTGATGCCAGAGCGACTTAAATCAGAGATGCTGTGGTTGATATGCTGTTCTTTTTTTTTTAAGCATGCCCGTAACATCCATGTAACTTTTAAAAAGTTTTATTTTTTGAACTTTGTTTTACCTGAAGTCTCTCTGGTCTACGTAAGTTAAACTTAAGGGCAGATGATGTAATGTATTCTTACTGATGCATTTTTGTAGCCAGCTTGGAGCGGTATGAGGAAAGATGGCGTGCTTAGCAGGAAAGTTGTTAGAAGAACTTCTGCAAATGGTTGCCTCTTGCTTTGTTTAACACTCCTGCCTCCAGAGATGGTAACAAGAGCCACTAGGACTCTTCTGAAAGACTTTCCAGTGACAACAGGAGCTGGGGCTGTGCTCAAGTGATGCATGTTTCTGTACTCTTATACTCAAGTTGGGGCATGGTGTTACAGACAAATGAAACCCAAGAAATTCATAAATGACTGAAAGTGATTGTGTCAGTGTTCATAGCAGTGCTGCTGCTTCCTCTGGTTTCTGTTTAGAGATTGGCAGAGGCTGTGAACTGACAGAAGGAAGAGACTGAAACTGATTTCAAAAGTTTGTTCATGCCGTGTGCCGCTTTCTCATCACCGTCATCTTGCATAATGAGATGAGTCACACACAAGCGAATTGTTGGCTTTAACAAAACTGTTTATCGTTTCACCGTCAGGTCAGTCGTGTTTTCAGTAAAATATTCAATTTTAGAGTGTGTTGCAGTACACTTCAGGCCTTGTTAATTGTGCAAGTAAACACGTTAGCTCGAGGTCTTTTCTCTTAGTAGTGGCAATGTGTCTGCTTGTCATGTTCTGGTGAAGAGCTCTGTAAAATAGAACAGTAAATGAGGAGTACGCTTGTCCTCTAGCTTTTTTTAATGTTTTAAATCAGGACGCTGTTTACAGAAGCATTTGAGATACAAAACTGTGTAAGGATTGATGTGCTTTAATTCTTCCAATATCCCCAAATTTCAAAAAATGGAAGAATTTTCTTGTAGCTGTAGTGACGTTCTCTTCTGGGGAAGAACTTCAGTACATGCAATAACAAATACCTTTGTCAAATAGTGTGAGAAGTTTTATGTTACACAACAAACCCATCAGGTGTAACCATGGAAAAATGAGAACTAAAGCACAGGGAAAAATACAGGTTTAGCTGAAAGGATACAGGAAAATCTTTTCGCATATGAAATGAACTCTCGAAGCCTTTGCTGTTGATGTGTAGAAGTAGTAATACATGCTTAAATGGGCACTTAGTGCTTGGTAGTTTCTGTAGGTAATACAACTGTTGATACCTTATGTATGCAAACACTGAAGAGCTTTTGTGAAAGAAAGTAGCAATGTATTCTAAACTGACTTGAATAAATGTAACAGCTAAAGCAACAACAGGATTTTGAGGATGGAAAAGAACATATAGCTGGAGAAAGTGGATTTCTGTAGAGGTCTTGAATCCATTTCATCTTTGGCATCTCTGTTTAGAAGGATTGAGGCAATTGATTGGTGATGCCAAAGTCAGATGTTACCGAAGTTCAGTCTCTTGAACTGCTTGGAAGTTATTTGGCCATGTAGAATTCCTCAATTGCTTTTTTCAGGTCAGAGCTGTCCTTCACTTCATATAATATCATAAAATCAGAGAACATCCTGAGTTGGATGGGACCCACAAGAATTGTTGAGTCCAACTCTTGGCTCTGCAGAGGACTACTCAGTAATCAAACCCTATGTCTCAGAGCATTGTTCACATGCTTTCTGAACTCCTGCAGCTGCCCTGGGGAGCTTGTTCCAGGGCCTGACCACCCTCTGGGAAAGAAACTTTTCCTAACACACAGCCTGCACGTCCCCTGATGCAGTTCTGAGCACAATAGAATTTAGCAAATATTACGTTCACATTTATGGAGTGCAAATTCTTAGCAAGAACACTTGGAGTACAACATAGATTGCTGAAAGGAAGATGTGGAAGGTACATAAGTGGCTTTTATTGTATTTGTATGCGGTGCATAATCTTAGTTGATGTGGATTTCTTTGGAGAACCTCTGTTTGCAAGCAGGCCTCAGACTTCTTAACCATCTTAATTATGAACGTAGAACCAACACCCATTCATTAATTCTTGGGTTTACTCGGCTTCAGTATGGACAAGTATCTTTGTCAATAAAACAACTAAGAATTAATAATTACTCTATTCTTGGCAACCCAAAATAATACTACATTTAATAGCATGCTTCACAATGGTTTTGCATGCTGAGATTGTTACCTTCTTGCTTCCTAAACACTGTGAAATATTGTTCAGATAAGAAGTGTAGTTGTGTACGGGAATAATGAAATTGAGCATTGGAGAGATGCAAGGAGGCCAATAGCAGTTCTGGCCCTCACAGACTGCCAGCAGGTTGTTCAGCTCAGACCTGTTGATCTGAAAGCTTACTGCCAAAGCGATTTATTGAAAGTTTTCTGAGTCAGTTACATGTGTATTCACTGCAACTGTAAGGCAGTTCCAGGCGCTGGCACCACAGGACTCTTGTATTGCTGTGCAGAGAACTGTTGCTACCCTCCTGGTTGTTCGCAGGTTTTCACTTGTTCTAAACACTTAACCTGTAAGTGGAAGAGTAACAAAATACTCTTCTGTACTTCTTTAGTATATACATCCTCACTGTGATGCAGTATGTCTGAGGCAGGCTTCGATTCATGCGATCTGAGTGATGGAGTGATCGCTGCTGATCGACAGATCTTCTGTGCTGAGCACTTCCAGCCTTGTAAAGAAATGCATGACTTGGCACTTGTGGACTTGGAACGTGCCACCAGATTCAAGGTCTGAATTGTCAGGGCATACAGAAATGTAATACTTTATCTGCGGAGACTGCAAAATTATTGCATGATTTTCTACATCACAATTTTCAGTGTGGCAAGATAATGTTAGTGTCCATTGGTTTTGAGAGTTTGGATGTATATCAGATCTGTGTGGTGTTCAAATTATTATAAGACGTTGCTTTCAGAGGTGGTTTAAACCAAGACCCAGTGACTTGTTTTCACAGCCTGTATGGTTGTTGGAGATGCTCACAGCCTTTCTGTGAAAGGTGATTGAGCTACGTGAGTTGAATGCTTACAAAGCTATGTTATTTAATAAGGTTTGCATACAGGAAGGTTGAATCTCTCTTATCTCGGATATGTCACTTCTCTCCTGTGGTGTCTTATCTGACAGTGCTGTATTAAAAGCTGTCTTCAGATATATGTTTAAATTTGTGTTGTCACCAGAACACCAGTACTTTATCTGGGCATGGGAAAATTTTTAATTATAGGAAGGTGAAAAGGTCTTAATAAAACATTAGTATGTTTTCTAAAGGTCCTGTCTTCGCTGATGGTTCACTTCAGAGGGATATACTTCTACCCTGAATGTTTTGAATAACCATGCTGTGTTTTTCTTCAACAGCGGTGTTACGAACATAAGCAGTATAGAAATGGGCTGAAGTTTTGTAAGCAGATCCTTTCTAACCCCAAGTTTGCAGAACATGGAGGTAAGTTTTCAAATGGCACGTACTCACTTTTTTTCCCCATGCAGAAAATGAAACTGGCAATTATTCTCTTAAGTATATTATAGTCAACAATAAGTTATATTCAGTAAGCTTAAAAAATTTATATAGTACCTTATTGTTGATGATTTGCCCTTAAGGAGATTTTCTTCAAGTAGTAAAAGAAAATCATCCAAAAGCCCGCACGATGACAAACAGTCATGGCTGCTAAGGTTTGTGGTTTTAAAGTCTGATCTTACCAGTAGTTATAGCTTGCCATTCCTTATGCTGGAAGTCTTAATAGTCGCTAACATGATGCAAGCTTCTTAATACAAGTATGTAATGTTGAATTCACTTATCAGGGGACATTATTCACTGATGTGTAGGAAGTAGTGCAAGGCAATAGAAAGGGATTGAATAGTGCTGAACAGCACACAGCATTGTGTGCTTGCAGCCCGGAGGGCCAACTATATCCTGGGCTGCATTGAAAAAGGAGTGGTGAGCAGGGAGAGGGAAGTGATTGTCTCCCTCTGCTCAGCTCTTGTGAGGCCCCTTCTGCAGTACTGTGTCCTACTTGGGGCCACCAGTACAGGAAGGACGTGGAGCTCTTGGAGCGGGTCCAGAGGAGGGCACTAAGATGATCAGAGGGCTGGAGCAGCTCTCCTGTGAAGAAAGGTTGAGGGAACTGGGCTTGTTCAGCTTGGAAGAGAGAAGGCTCTGGGGAGACCTCGCTGTGGCCTTCCAGTACTTGAAGGGAACATAAAAACAGCCGTTCCCCTCCTGTTTATGAGGGTGGATAGTGATAGGACGCGGGGGAATGGTTTTAAACTGAGACAGGGGAGGTTTAGGTTAGATATTAGGAGGAAGTTTTTCACACAGAGGGTGGTGACGCACTGAAACAGGTTGCCCAAGGAGGTTGTGGATGCCCCATCCCTGGAGGCATTCAAGGCCAGGCTGGATGTGGCTCTGGGCAGCGTGGTCTAGTGGCACACAGCAGGGGGGTTGAAATTAGATGATCTTTGAGATCCTTTTCAACCCAGGTCATTCTATGGACAGTAGGTATCCCTCAGCTCTGTGGTCTCGTTACTTCTGAAGGAATGGTCTCTTTGGAAGAGAAGGAAAAATTGTTTGTCCCTTACTATATTTTTACTGCTGAGTTGAGTCTGTCTGTCTTCTATCCAAAAATTTTCTTTGTGAACTAGGTTGGCACGGATGGGTTTGCAGAAGTCTCCAAGTGTTGTGAGTAGATGCTTGAGTGGTTTAAATTAGTATCTTCCCAAAGTGTTTGTAGAGCAGAAAGTTTTTAATGTCCTGAAAATAAAAAGCTTCTTTGCTTTGGCTGGAACTACTGAATATAACTTATTGTTATCTATGATACTCTTAATAATCTGCTAGTTTAATTTTCCCCGTGGAAAAAACACAGTATCTTCATGCTGTTAATTGAGTCCGAAGTTACATTTATGCTATAGAGGTAGTATGTTCAGTTGAAAATCTTACAGAACTGAATTACTGATACTTGTTTGATCTTTGTGTTTTTAGAAACCTTGGCAATGAAAGGACTAACATTAAACTGTCTAGGGAAGAAAGAGGAAGCTTATGAGCTGGTGCGCAGAGGCCTAAGGAATGACTTGAAGAGTCATGTCTGTATCCTTTTGGATGAGAGGTTTTGCTTATGAATGGGAAAGTCTTTAACTCTTTGATCTGTGGAACAAGAGCCGGTAGAGTTATGCTTCCAACTGGAATTTCAGAATTTGAAAGTGTGTCCAATATCTAAGAATGCTTAGTTTAAACTATCCAATAGGCAGTTGCTTTGCAGCTATTCTTGCAGGTGGAGGTAAATCAAAAGTTATTCTGGCTTGTGTTGTATATACTTGTTTTTATTGTTAGACCATGACTCTAAATTTCTTGGGGGCTGAACTGGGCTTTTAAGCATGTGATTTGCTTCAGAAGCTTTAGTAGTTGCGATTACATTGCTAAGACTTGTCATACGCTTAGAATGCAGGAAGCACATTGCTACAGTTGTCTAATCAAGCCCTTACTCAAAAGTGGATTTAAGTATGCTTGATGATCTTTCTCAGAGATCCCACTGCAGTTTCTTCCCCTGGTACATTAAAAATAGAGTTTACAACATACTGCAGGCACTCTATCCATGTGCGTGGTCAATAGTTCTGTATTTTCAGTCTGCTTTGTACAGCAGAGGAAAAGAATATAATGATTGCAATGATACTGTGTATAAAATGGCTTTGGAGCTTTTTACCAACTGCTTTTTACCAACCACTGCCACGATAGATCTGTTTTCTACCTGCTCAGTTTCAGTAGAATCCTTAACAGAATTTTCCAGGTTGGCATGTCTATGGTCTTCTTCAGAGGTCAGACAAGAAGTATGATGAAGCTATCAAATGCTATAGAAATGCACTGAAATGGGACAAAGACAATCTTCAAATCTTGAGAGATCTTTCTCTGCTACAGATTCAAATGAGGGATCTTGAAGGTTACAGGGTAAGTATATGTACTTACATGTAATATCAGCTTCTAGGGAACTGCAATAAAGGCTGCAAATTATTTCATGACACTTAAAAAAGCCACATTTACATTATGAAATACAGCGTTAAAAGTATTTGCTCGGTATTTTGTGAAGACAAGTTATATTATTGAGCAATTTCTCTAACGTGTTCAGATTATTCTTCTTACATCTTAAATTATTCTTTTTTAATCTCACTGCAGGGTTGATTGCTAACCTTTCCTCCAGTACAGCGTAATGCAGCCATAGATGATCCTCAGTCGTCTTATTGCATTATTTGAATTGTTGTTTGTATTATTTTTTAATTTGGTCGAGACAATTGTTGTGTGTTGAAGTTTGTTTCCTTTGATTCAAAGGAAACTTTTGCATATGGAAAAGTACTTCTTAGTGCCGTTTGTTAAGTTTTGTAACACTGGAAACAGTACAGCTTAGGAAATTCCACAAAGCATCAGAATAAGGTCAAGAAAATGAATAGCTGCTCTTTTGCAGGAAACAAGATATCAGTTGCTTCAGCTCCGACCTGCACAACGAGCATCATGGATTGGCTATGCTATTGCTTACCATCTGTTGGAAGACTATGAAATGGCAGCAAAAATTTTAGAGGAATTTAGGAAGACTCAGCAGGTAAGAGGAAGTCGTGGCATTCCTGTGTGAATTGCTTCTTAAGCCAAAAAGGAAATACCGTTTCCCTTCATGATATGAAAACTTTATGCTGTTTTTTTAGTCAAATGAGTTAAATCCCAAATGAGTTCTAGAAAGCTGAGCTTTCTCATGCCTCTTTCCTGTGTAGACATCACCTGATAAAGTGGACTACGAGTACAGTGAGCTGCTGCTGTATCAAAATCAAGTTCTCCGTGAGGCAGGACTACATAAAGAAGCGTTGGAGCATCTTTGTACCTACGAAAAACAGATCTGTGATAAATTGGCTGTTGAAGAAACTAAAGGTAATTACTATTCAAAGATGCATTTGAATGCATGGTTATACAATGGAATGCCTATACTGTCAGCTTTTTCCATCTTTTGGAATTTAAATTTAAAAACAAATTCTTAGTTTGATTTTTATATTTTTAAAACTGCTGTGGTAAAGGACAACCTGTCTTGCAGCTGTGCTGCGCCTGTCTTGTGTCTCTCCCAAGTATTTAAATCGTGAGCAGAGTGCAGACGTGCTGTTCTGAAACTCTGGAGCTGATGAGTGTTTCAGACAGATAATTCTGAACTGGTGAGGTAAAATTCTGTTTGCATAGCATAGCCAGATCCTAGCTGCGCTAGGATTTAATGCTGGTCCTGACAGACAGGCCACATGCTGAAAGGACGAAATAATCTTAGAATCACAGAATCACTAAGGTTGGAAAAGACCTTCAAGATCGTCGAGTTCAACCATCCACCTATCACCAATAGTACTCTCTATACCATGTCCCTCAACACAAAATCCAACCACCTTCAGGGTCGGTGACTCCACCACGTCCCTGGACAGCCCATTCCAGTGCCTGACCACTGTTTTGGAGAAGTAGTATTTCCTAATGTCCAGCCTGAATCTCCCCTGGTGCAGCTTGAAGCCATTCCTCTAGTCCTATCACCAGTTACATGAAAGAAGAGGCCGACCCCCAGCTCGCTACAACCTCCCTTCAGGTAGTTATAGAGAGCAATAAGGTCTCCCCTGTGGCTCCTCTTCTCCAGACTGAACAATCCCAGCTCCTTCAGCTGCTCCTCATAAGGCCTGTGCTCCAGACCCCTCACCAGCTTTGTCGTCCTTCTTTGAACCTGCTCGAGGGCCTCAATGTCTTTCTGGCTGTGAGGGGCCCAAAACTGGACACAGTACTGGAGGTGCGGCCTCACCAGAGCTGAGTACAGGGGGACAATCACTTCCCTGCTCCTGCTGGCAACACTGTTCCTGATGCAAGCCAGGATGCCATTGGCCTTCTTGACCACTTGGGCCAAGTAGAAGGCTTTTGATTTTCCTCAGTCACTCTTGCAATGCATGGAAATACTTTCCAGATGAGCATCAATCTCCAATGTAATCTTCTAGCATATAACAACCAAACAATATAATAATGTATGTTATCATTCTGAAATTCCAATAGTGAAATGCAGAAGTTGGATTCTTTCAGCTCTACTGACAGGTACACTTGGAATATGCCTTATTTCTCTTCTGCTTGATGCTGTGCATCCTTCTCTCACTGTTTAAGTAAAAATTCCGACTTACCGAGTTACTGTTAGTTCATAGCCCACACTGGAAACTGACTTCTTTGTTTTTCTCTTGAAATAGAACGAGGACCTTAGTGTAGAATGATGATGTTTTGCCCCTTGTGTATAATATTCTAGTCCCTCCCATTTGCAAATAGCAAAGCATTGTAAAACACAGATTTTCATTGAGAACTAGGAAATGGAATTATGTTCCAACTCCAGCACTGGGGAAGATGCTACGTATATCAAGATCTAGACCTTACCTTTAATGACTGTATCGTATATTGAATAATCACTGAAAGAAAACTTGCTTGCATCATCTTGAGAATGGATTTAAAGCACTGAAGTTTTTTTTGGTACCAGTCTGAAGATTTATCTGCAGCTCTGTACATGTGACATACTGTGTACTACTTCTTATTCCCTGTGCTTAAAATAACCAGTGAGAAAAAACATGTGCATCTTGCTTTTAAGATGAAATTTTCAAGTAAGTTTCAAGAGTTAATGGTGGCTGAATCACAGAATCTTATGTTAAGCGCACATATTTTTAAAGTAAAAGTTTATCTGTCAGCTGGTTTGTGATACAACTATT